TTGCTCGCGGTGAAGTGTGGCCTGTCCTCGACAGATGACAACAATGGGGTGTGTTTGGGCACTCCTAAGAAACAGAAGCGCATTCGTTGTCAACACGGCAAGGAGAGTGGCATGTGCCGAATTTGCCGTCCTTGCCGACATGGCAAGTTGAAGAACAACTGTGCAATATGTAGACCTTGCCCTCATGGCAAAGTCAGGCAGGCTTGTAAAGAGTGCTGCGGTTGCGAACATGGTCGACTCAAGCTCCAATGTCGTGTTTGTAACGCTTGCGTTCATGGCCGGAACAAGTACAAGTGCGAGATATGCAGTCCATGTCCACATGGAAGAGTCAAGTACAACTGTCGGTTGTGCAACGCTTGTGTTCATGGCCGGCTCAAGTACAAATGCAGAGAGTGCAAGCAGCGCAAGCAGGAAAACAGGCGTGGTATCGTGGTCATGACCAACAACATTTACCTGCCTGAGATTCATTCATTGTTGATTATAGCTGTGCTCAAGAGTGAGAGCGCCATCACCATCGCCCATGGGATCTGAAGGGAAGGGTATTGTCGATCCGGTACAAGCGATACAAAGGAGCGATACAAACATGTACAAATGCGAACCTGGTGCTACAATACAGTGTCTTGTTAACTATACAAGGGACTTGGGAACCACATGTTTTGGTCATGCTACCAATAGCTCCTGGCCTGATACGCCAAACATGGAAGCCAACCCAGAAAAAAAAAAAAAAACTTGCGTAAGAATTTGGCGTTTGGCGTATGCGTCCAAAACGATGTGAACAAACTCTCAAGCTTGACATGCAAGCTCCACACCGTCCAGGTCCAGGAGTTGTTGTTGCATCGTCCAGCCAGCAGAATGATGGTTGTGCAGCTGGGGTAGATTGAAGTTCCAAGAGCCCAGCGTTCCAAGCTGTTATTTCAACCTGCCATATTCGCTGTTGAAGCAAGAGGTCTGTCAGAAAGCCGCAGAGCTACCGTATGCAGCATGTGCTTGCTCTAGACTCAGTGCAGACAAGTGGATTGTTGAAATATAACTAAAAAACAACACAAATATATTTTTCTACATTCTACATCGGTTTTGGCTTCGGGTTCAATTTGGTCGTTTGGTACCATATTGGGTGATCAAATCCATAATCAAGAGATTTCCTTCAGCGCAAAGCAGAGGTCAATCAGGGGGCTTTATCAATCAAGAGTCTCTCTCTATATATTATATGTACTATATACAATATACATGAGTTGGAGTCTTTGTGGGTCGTAGTGTTTCTTCTTTCCACTCGCTCCAAGCACTTGGTGAAGACTGAAGCATTACATCGGTGGTCATATCTCATCAAAACCGGGCATCCTCGGGCTGTGGGACATCGCACCAGACTGAGCACGACCCACCGGACGGTGTCAGGCCTTCGCCACATGGTGGTCGGGTTCCAGCTTGGTTGAACGACCCATCCCCACTTCACTTGGAGAAACGACCCATCCTTTGTTGACCCTTTACTGTAGGTGCTATAATTAGGTGGAATTTCGGAGTTTCACACTGAATCTCAGCTCCAAGCGAGCTTCACACCGTCCACCTCGTTTCATAGCAACAACATTACCTTTGTCCGTCCTGTCCTCCTCTCCGATGCTCCGCAGAATCTTCCGGCCGCAGAAAACATGCCGCCCAGGTGGCCAACGAGGGTGCGGAGGTGCGCGTGACGTGTCAAAGCCCGCGCTACGCCAACGGCTCGAGTCATGAGGACTACCTTTGTCAGAAGCTTGGTAGCCAGAGGTCGGGAGCTGGAGATACAGACTTGGAGACTGGGCGCACTTTTAGTTGGCTTAGTGGCACATGTGGTGGGAATGCCTGACCTGATCATGACCGCAAGCCATACAGTAACGGCCGCTTGATGGGCCTGCGGGCGACCACCTATTATGAAAAAGAGTGACAACAAAAACAACCACGATATATACCAGGATCCTGTTTTGGGTGTCCAATCGACTACCCCACACTACTTCGGAATCTCCAGCCAGGAGGTTTGACCCATGTCCAAATCCATCTCTACTTGCCAGTGAATCGTGAATAACCCAAAGCTATTGACATCGCTTGACCGTTTGGTGTTTTGGGTTTCGGAGCTTCCAAAAATTGAACGATGTTGAACCCAAAATTCCAGGTGCCTGTCTAAGAGAGCGTCCTTGTGCTGGCCGAAATGACACCGTCAAGTTCTTTCACATCAATTTGAGATTCGAGATAATTGCCCCAAACAAATCAGAGGGTTCTTAAAAAAAAGAAGCACAACGGGTGGATACTTGTTTCATGTCGATTAGAGAAGGACAGGGGCTTGCAAGGCTTGCACTTGTTGCAACAGATGTGACGATCGACGGTACTCAGAATGTGTATTGTGTGTTTGCTCCATTGGTGTTGGTCCGAAGAAAAAAATCTGATGACGACAACACAACACAGTCACTCTTGTAGTATAAATAATTTCGAAGGATTGACTTACTGTAAATTCCACAGCAATCCATGGTTATCATACACCAATTCTGCGAAGATATATTATCTTGGCTGAGGTTTGGATTTCTTGGCTTCGGCCTGGATTCTGTCCTCTTAACCTGTTTCAACCAAAGGATGTCGATGCGGGCGTCAACCCGTTGGTCAACGGCGCGTGCCTTTGGCGAAACCTGGTTGATTCTGTTCCACAGCCGTTCCACAGCCGTTCCACAGCCCTTCCGGGATGGAAAGATGGAGTCCACTGGGGCGTCGATGACCCCATGTTTTGCACCCAGAACAGGATGGATTCTCCGATTGTGATGCGTCGATGGCTCGTTCAAGTCAGTGTTTGCTGTGCGCCACTGACGCCAGGAACAGCAGCTTTGAGTTGACGCCACCGTCTCAGAGCAAGCTGCAATGTGTGGATCCGCCCTGTGCTTTGGCCAGAAACGCCAATGGCACCTACCAGTGCTTTTTGGATGGACAACTGCTCTCCTTGGCAGAAGCTCAGCGATGCAATGACAGGCGGTAGCATTCGCCATGAGGGTTGGTGAAGTTTGCTGAATTGCACACTGCAACTGTTGATGTCAATGTTTTTTTTTGGGGGGTGTGCTACAGGCCATATGCACAGCATCAGATGATATCAGATCATGAATCATCACCACCACATATATAATATACATCCCGATTGAAATTCCCGCTATGGAATCAGGGAACCTGGGTACTGAAACGGGGGAGATATGAATTTCAAAGGGGATATATACATAGATATTCTGATGTGATACCACACGGCATAGATCTACAGAGAATACACCAACAGCCTGCGATCTCAGTGTTCTGGACCCGCAACGGGTGCCGTTCTGACAAACTGCGCGGTTCCACAAACCGAGGACGCTGCTGTGATGCAAGTTCCACTTGGGACATCTTGTACCTTGCAGTGTAGCAAAAGCTCTCTTGGATTTGCTTCAGCAGCTTTTACATGCTTTTGCCCACGCAAGGTCCATGCCTTTTGGGCTTCAGTGCATTTCATGAGCTACGTGGGTGTATGTGTGTGTGTGTGTTGTAATTGTTTGTAATTGTATGTTTCAATCTAAATCGTTGCTGTCGGCTGTTTTCAGGGCGGGGTCCCGAGCTTCTTGAGGGGGGACCTTCCTTGACCGGACTAAATACAGCAGAAGTGCTGCTGCTACTTTGGGCACCACTTGGGTGTGTAGCTCAAATAGGGAGACCTGCCAGGTGTTCTGACTCCTTGGGAAGGTTCGGAACATATTATATCAGTCTACCCAGCCAGGGCCAGGGTGATTCCTATTTAATTACGAACTCAGCTTCAGTTTCTCCTGACTAATGCTATCAAGCGATTTCGCTTTTTGTGAAAGATGTCGATGGCAGGGTTTGGCCTGGACTTTTCAAGCTCATAGTTATAATACGATGTTTGAAGAGTTGAAGGTGCATGGTATCGTGTTGTCCAGGATTCACACCGCGAAGACCAGGCATTGGTTCATTGAAAATCGACTACTAATTTAAAGTTGAAGGACATGGTATTTCCTCCAAATCCGGGGGTTTCCAATCCCATTTGAAGGAACTGAGACATTGGTTGGAACACTCTTTCCTGAATCTGTTCGATGACTAGGTTGGGGCGAGTCTTCCACTCCATCCCTTGGACTGAACTAGCTCAAGAACCATGTATTGTTAATTTGGTGTTTGACACCGTTTGAATCAGATCGCAAAACCCCAAAGGTCATGGAACGGCCTCATTCATGTGCGTTTATATATGTTCCCTACTTACCCGGGGCCCGGGCCCTGCTTAGCTAAAGTAAGTCCTGCCTAACTAGGGTAAGTATGAATGCTGTTTCTAATAGCTTCTTGTTACTAGTGAGGCCAGGAGCCCCGAACGTAGCGTCCTTGCCTATGAGAGAAACCAAGACCCTCTCGAAACCGAACCGCCGAACCGAAGCTCCCAGGCTTCGAAGTGCCAACTCCTCCGATGGAACTCCACTGTGCCTACGTTGAGAGTGCCTTCGGCTCCAAAGCCTCAGCGGAAAGCTTGGTCCGAACGAAGTCGATGCGTAGGTGCGTAGGCGTGTGTGTGCTTTCCTCACCGGTCAGCTGAGGGTTGTTAGATTTTAACTTATTGTTTATGTGTATGTTGTTCGTAACAGCGATGGGGGTCGATATTGAAGGGTTGGTGTGATTGGGTGATCAGCTGGGTGTGATGTTCGAGGTGTTCGGCCAAACGGATGGTTGGTGGATTTCCTTCCAAAAAAACACCATACCGCCGTGGGATTCTTTGGCGAGTGGGGGACAATGACCTTTGGGCAGTGAAGACTCGAGTAGGACGATGGTGAGATTGTTTTTTTTGTTCGGTCACATAGACGAAGAGGTGTGCCAAATTAAACATGGTCAAATTTTCAGATGTGAGTTTTCAGTTGAAAGGCAATTTGTTGAACAATCATTGGCTCTTGCGGGAAGCCAAACTGTTGGCCGGAATGCAAGTTGCCAGAAGTGTGGAGATCGCATGCTCTGCCGCATGCTCCACCAGTCCGTCTCAGAAGACGCTTGGTCCTTGCTTGGTCCTCTCAGTGTCACTACCCGCCCATTTCCGTCAATGGGTGGGCGGGCAGTTGTTTGATCAGACATAGTAAGACTGTTGATGGAAGTGATCGACACCAGGATCAAGTCTACCCCTATGTCATCCCGTAATATTTGGTGTATGTTTTCAGTTTGCTTGGTTTGTTTCCGTGTTTCTTCTTACATCAACTGTATCATGACTCGAACATGTTCCCCTCTCCAGCCGACAACCGCCTTGTCAAAACCACCACAACAACATGGTTTTGCTCAATTAGGGCGATGTGTATGATTCCCAGTGCGCAAAATAGACCCGTCTACTGTTGCCAGGCCAGGGGGTCTCCCTGTTCAAATACACACCCATGTGTGTTGCGTTGCTTTTTCATGCAAAACAGCACAGCATTCTGAATTCGCCAAGGCGATTTCAGTGACATCATCTACAGGGATCCCTTGATGGTGACCAGTACAGGCGCCTGCGCCGTTTGTCTCTTCCAGAAAACATGTGGCAGAATCAGGGCCTTTTGTGCAGCGTTGGTTCTTGTTTTGTTCCTAGGGAATGACGGGGCCCATGATGAGCAAGTGGGCTGAAGGAATACATGATGATTATGTTTTTGTGGATGATAACACACCGAAGAGAAGCGAAGGACACAATTGATGCCTTCCATATTAATTCTTTGGATGAATGCGGTGGCTGAGACTGCACTCATCACTCGTTGTGCTTATCTCATGCTAAGACTGACCCCAGAACCAAGGGTTCGGTGGAACGAATGCTTGAAACAGCAGGGGAAGAGGAGTTCATTGCGTACACCGATTGCACCCAGAACCAAGGGTTCAAGGAAGTGTAGACAGGAAAGCACTTGTTGGTTAACGCTTGTTATGTCGACACCGTCTTTTGAGTGAGGCGGCCAGAACATCACATATGGAAGCAGACACTTAAAGCCACGCCACTAGTGTTGTTTCCAGATATAACGGAGCTGATCAATGACATCTATTCAAAGAACATGATCAGACATCATATGAGTGAATTTGTTCAAACATATATGCTCTCAGACACTTTCCAATACAGATTGGGTTTCAAACCGATTCGTGTCCATCTCCTGTTCTTCGCCCTTTGCAATTCGCCAGGTGTCCCACGCATGGTGGAGCGCCTCGCCGATGGTTCTCTAAGACCTGCGGTGCCACAGGTGGTCCCGGCTTTTTTTTGGTAAGTTGTTTGTTTTTGTCAAGATGCACTATAGGCCAATGAATGTCAATATACTCATTTTACTGGAGTGGTCATACAAAAGCACTATTTAAGGATACTTAAGTATGTAAAAGGTCAAGTTCTACTGGGTCTTTGGACTTTCAAGAGGATGGATTGGGTTTGTCCGCCCAAAACATTCTACCAAGGCACCAAGCTGCCAAAAAAAACTCAGTTGATGTATGATTTGGGTTTGTCCGTTTGCACCTGCAACAGTCGGTAAACAAATAACATCAAATAACTATTATCGCAAATTTAGAGAAAGGCCTGACAACTGGTAATGGGATAGGCCCGAGTCTCAAAGAAGGAGACCTCCCAGGCAACGACCAATGTGTTGTTTGGTCAGACAATGCCCTGCGGACCCGGGAGACTGGTTTAACTCGTACATGTCGACATGGACTGCTTAAACAACTCTGCCGAACTGCCTAACACCATTAATGGTGCTTTTGTTGGTGGTATGTTGATCCGATGGGTCGTTCCACCAAGAGCTTGACCGGTCGACCAGGCCTGACCAGGCAGGGTCAACCGGTCGGTCAAGCGGTGGTGCCATGTCCCACATGGCTGTGGAGCTCAAAGAGGGAAACCACTAGACCCTCTACCCCTTGGGCGGGGGGGGTTCCCTATGAAAACACCAAATACACACCCTAAATGGGCAGGACTCAATTGAATTGGACGCCATGGAACTGTTGATAGACTTTTACATCAACACGAATTGACATATCCGATTCCAGATTCACTTCAGCATCCATCGTATGCATCATATTGACTGCAAGAGAACCACCTGAACTCCTGAGAACCACCTGAGATTCCTGTCTCTTTTTATCGTCACCTATCCGTGATACAGATTTACTTACCCGGTACGGATGGACTCCTTATCTCTTCCCCTTTTTTTCAATCCAATTTGTGGGTCCTGCTGTCTTGCTATGTCCATCCATCCGGACCAATCCTGGGCGTTGCACCCATCAGCTCCGGTCGCACACCCTTCGCCGGATCGCCTCGCGGGTCGCCAGGTGTGCGAGATCATGACTTGTCCGTTGCCCTCGGTGCAGGGACTCCCTGCGGTGGTGGCGGGCAACATGCCCCAGGCGCTGCACTGAGCCAAAGATCTTTATCCCTGTGAAAACATGTCAGGGGAAAAAAAGGGTAACACTTCAGAGAGAGAGAGAGATATGTTGTAATTTGGTATTGTTGAAGTGTTCGCACATTCGGCTGCTGACATGGCTTTGCGCTAAGAATCGAGAGAGATCTGTCGAGGAAACTAACAAGATACACAAAGCTACCCAGTCAGTGGATGACCTTTAGCCAGTTATTTTTTGGGGAGTGGGGCAACCCCACTAATTAAACAAGAACAGGCTAGAAACAGGTCAAGCCAAGTGTCAAAGCATTATTTTCCATCGAAACGGCTCCGGAGTCAGCAAAAGAGTTTGCCCTGCCCGGCTTCCCACAGCCTCCATGAGCCTCCGATTTGCTTCTCTCCCTCGGAGGCCAATGCGTCGGGCGAGATTCTCTACATCGCCGCTGAACAGAATATGTTCGAAGAAAACGGAGAGAATTTGTGGGGATACATAGGGATACACTCCCTAGAATACTGATGGAAGTGGAGTTCTGTTTGGTATTCGGAACATGGTCATCCGAACTTGACGCCATGCCATCCACTTCCATGATGGTTCGAGTTAGTGTACGCACCCAACAAACACCAATGCTGTGGCATGCTGTGGCATCGGGAAAGACCAAGTGATTGCTTGACAAGGGAGATCTGAGTAGCCTATTTTTGGCGCAGTCGTGGCCTCTTCGGAACTCTTGGACGCTTCCTCCAACAAAGCTTACCCCTTTCCTGGGACATGCTAGCAGCAGGATCGAAGATGAGCACTGAGTGGTGTTCAGAGGCCTCACGTTGAGGCCACTACCCAGACAAGCTGAAAAGTTTTGCTGGCCGTTCATTCGTCAACAAATATAAAACACATTGATGGAACATCCAAAAAATCGCTTCAAAGACAACATAAGATAACTTTTGAGGACACAGAAAGCTGTGGCAGTCCCCCCAGTCAATGCGCCCTTCAGTTTGATAGTTCTTGTGACTCCGGTTTCGACTAGTCGGACAACAGTTCGAGTTGCACCATGGCAACCCAAACAAACATCGAAGGGATGGGGTTGTTGCTGTGGTTGTTCCTTAGTTAAAAAAACAAAAAAACAATCCCAAACAGAACATCTAAGGTCATCTAAGGTCCATATAAGAATTTGTGGATACATTGCTCCTGTTCAGTCATCCTGTTGCCTCTAACAGTAACTTGGCTGAGTTTGACTTTTGGCCAAAGTATGATGGTCGCCTCCTCCTCCTCCTCCTCCTCCTCGTCCTCCTCCTAGGAGTGTGACGGCCTCTCTCAGTTTGCTCGATGCTCCCCGGTGTGTGCATATGGCCGCCTGGCAGAAGCTGTCTTCAAGAGAAGCCGGAATGGCCGGAAGGTGCATTTTGTGTCACAGAAATAGGATAAACCATGCAATAGGCAACACATGTTTGTACTTGAAGAAGGCAATGTCCAGTTTGTTTCCGTAGTTTGTTTCTTCGCACGTTTGTTGGGTTAAACTGCAGGGTTGACCGGGGCGACCCCAAGGAATGACACATAGTAGATACCCTTTCTTTTAGAGGGCGTGTTATTTTGTGTTCCTGGGTAAATCATGGCAAATCGCCGTACCGGGGAAGTTGTTTGTATATTTGGTCCTGTTCCTTTCCCGTGGGGCGGCCCTGTCGTTCGCCCAGAGGAACGTGCCCAGTAACTAGCTGGTGGTTATGAAGGAGCAATACGGAGCCGCGGGTATCCATAAGATTCCCCTTCACACAGGGAGCCAAGGAGCTACCGGGAGCCCATGAAAACAGAAGCTGAGACCGAGTCTTGAATTGAGACTGATAGTGTTTCAACCGGGATTCTGCACTGATTCAGACCAAACAATTTTTGATTCAAGCCACCTGAAACCATTCAACCAAGATTCAGCCCACAAAGATACTTTTTCTTTCTGGTGTTCAAGACTCTTTCAACCCTTGATATATCATGATACTGTATATCCTTATCCCTAGGAGGGCTCCAAATAACTTCTAAGAAGGTGGGACTGGGGTGGGTGCCAGGAGAGTCCAGTCATACCTTCTGAGGAGGTACAACTGGAGCCCCAGGACCTAGGGTATATTATGATATGATATACATACAATCTTATGTTCTTCTCTTAAACTCATGTCCAAGGCTACGAAGTGGACAGCCTCCGCTACCTGCTCTGCGACACCGGCACCTTCCAGGGCGAAGTCCGCTGCGTGAAACAGCGTTGCGCCGTGGCACGCAGAGAGACGGGGGATCGACGTGGAGGAATCGGGGCCGGGAATACCTGGAATCTGAAAAACTGGCGGTGGCCCTTCCCGCTGAGGAAAAGAAAACACGGTCATAGTATGTCATAGTTGTTATGCAGATCTGATGCAGATCTGTTTTTTTTCCTAGATCCAGTGTTTTCAGGGAATGAGGAGATGGGATCTTGAATGATAGGACGCAAACCTTGTTTCAAGTCTTGTTTCATTCTTGTTGGCATAGCTTTCCTATATATCCAACTTGGATTCACTGTACAGACTTCAAATCTGACATCAGTTATATACATAGTTCCATCAAAAGGTAAGGTCACGGTTTGATTCAATACAGGCAGCTTACCATGCCCTGTACAGGCATCCGGCATAAGGCATAACCTTATGGTTTAAAATCCCTGGCTAATCCATGGCAGCTTGTGTAACGACAGGGCCTGGCTGACTGACTGACTCCCAAGGTGCAGGCTCTGCTCCCTGGCCTTTCGGCACATCGGGCCGCCTGGCGCAATGGAAGACACCGGTGGGAACTTCCAACGAGTTGTAACGGAAACCCTTGGGACGAGTCGCTCACGTGGTGGTGCCGTCGCATGGTTCAAGTCGTCCCGTTGGCTTCGAAAGGAAGCCGACAGGTGGTAGCTAGCACGGAGACCTTCGCTGACTTTCGCCCAGATGGACCGGCCCATGGATTCCTAAGTACCTCGCACCTACGTGACGGGTCCGCATGTCCAAAGATGTACCAGGAACCTTCGTCGTTCGGGGTGTCCGGTCTCCATTGAAGAGCGCTCCATTTTGGAGGTTCCCAGGGGGTGTCCGTTCGCCTGCATCCCTTAGTGGGTTTGTCGTGCGCCTTCTCAGTCCACTGAACACTCGCGCCATTGAGGCTCCTTGTCGAGCTGCACAGATGGCCTCCATGGCCAATTCTGCGAGGCGCAGTAAGTATAGGGGGTGGGCTGAGGGGGAAGGAAAGGCGTCTGATGAACACAACAGCTTTTTGAGAAGAGAAGTGTAGGTTTCCTGGCACCACTCTTAAGTGCTTGAATCAGTTACAGGGTTACTGCAGACGCTTTCAAACATTAAATGCAGACAACTTGGCAGAGCCTTCTTCCTGCAACTTCCTGTCTTGCTCGACTTCTTCCCTCTCAGATCCTTCAGTCAACCGAAGGAACCCATCGCCGATGACAGAGCCGGCAGAGCCCTTCGGGGCAATACCCGTGAGCCTTTCGTGTACAACATTGTACAACCAAGAATAGGTATGTGGCATACGGTATATGGATGTAGCTGGCACAGACCAGAACATGGCATGAAACTGACCAGAACATGGCATTATAATGCATAAAATATCATTATACCATATTATGCCAAACAAAAAAGGCCGGTGTATAGTTGCTCCACGTTATTGATATCATTGGCCCTTTTTGAACCGGGCTCTTTCGGCAGTGAGAACCTCTAGGGCTCGGACGCGCAGGTGCTTTGTGCCGCGGGCTACACGCGAGATAGCAACCTGGCCTCCTACCAATGCGAGGCCAACGGGCCAGGGGACGGACATAGTTTGTTGAGGATTTGCTTTGGAGTGGAGTGGCACGCAGAGCGGAAAAGCATGGGAAAGCTCATGTTCATAGCTGTAGGACCTATAGGATGTTGTTGGTATCTTTTTGATACTGTAATTTCTACATTCACATATGACAGAGCAAATGCGGGATTGGAGTTGGCAGAGTTGCTGAAGAGGATCTTCGCATCTAATTCAATCTATGGACTCAATGCAACTTGTGTATTGGCTGACTGCTTCACGATCTCATTGATCCCAGAAGAAGAGCACCCCAGCCCATGAGTTAAGCCATCAACATCCGCAGTGATTGGACAGATGTTTGCACAGTTTCTGATTTCTTGAATTTTGACTTGGGGCAGGCAGTATGCAAAACTTGTCCGTGTGTTTATGTGCCAGATTGTTTAGGTACTTTGGTGCTGTTTGGATGGTCAATGGACCCATTTGGCAGCTTCGTCACAGGCAGGGCAGTAATGCCATGTTGCTTCTTCTTCGCCACAGGCAGGGCAGTGGATGGTGCCCACAACACCGCCTTGCATTGAAAGTTCCTGCTTTGCCGCTCCCGTGCTGGAGAATGCACAAAGACTACAGGCACTGTGAGGGAGCGGGTTTCATGCGAGGGGGTTCTTTGTTTTCCCCTGGCCTAACGTTTTTGGCCCATGTACCGTTGTTTTAATGGTTTGTATTGTGCCACGATTGGATGGCAAGCAGGTTGTGGTGATGGCATACATAGGAACAATGATGTGATTGGGTGCGAAACCAAGTACAACAAGCAATTGCGAGACCCTTTGTGGTGATCTCCAACAATTCTTATGAAGATATCAACTTTTATGATTATGCATATTATAGATTACTTAGTTTTGCAATGTTCTGTTAGATGATAGATGTATATTAATTGACTTAATTGGTTTCGGTTCAATCAAACCCAGCGGAGATCTCAATTGGTCATGGTTATACGTTATACAAATGCAGCCACCTCAACTCTACGATGGCCGAACGATTGGTTGGGGCAGGTTGATCTTGAGTTCTTGAACACAGCATTATTTTGTTGAGCCTCCCGCACCGCTGTGTCCTTGTGTTCAGTTTGTTCACGCGGATTGATCATCCGCAAAGGAGAACAAACGAAATTGCTTATATAACTATAGCTATAGCTGTCCAACTGTTGTGTTTGTGTTTTCTTTTTTTCACTCTTTCATAATCATCAAATCCAGTAAAGAATAAGCTTCCAAGCCTCCCACGGTTTTGGTATACCATGGTATACCCAAACCCAAACAGTCAAAGCGCCCTTTCAGAGGCCTGTGCGAACCGACCCGCCGGCTACGAGCGCCGTGGCCGCCTGTGGGCCGATGTCAATCACATGTTTGTTCACCGAGTTGCCTGACCCAACGTCCTCAGCAAACAGTCAATTGATAAAGATCATAAATTGAACATCATTGAACCAGAGCCTGTTTGGGAGTTTGTTCAAGGAAGACATCCGATCATCCAACACTACGGAATGAAGCTTTCCCATGGGGCCTCTCCTAATGAAGAAGAGATTTCTAGTTTGGTGACCTCTCCACCTCCTGATTGACTTCTCATTTCATGTGCTGCTTCACGTGCTGCTTCACGTTCATGCCAATTCGTAATTCAAGCATGATTGACTTCCCCACCGAAGAAAAGATCCGACCTTCTGACCCCCCCTCCAAAACATGAAGGATGACCCGTTCACAATAGAAGAACTACATCAAATACTTGGAAAGCAAAGCCAATAACAAGACATGTAACACCACATTTATCAAAAACCTGGAGTCGAGACAACGAACGAACTGGCCCGTATCAACAATTGATTCACTTCCTACAGGCATGCTTTCAATAGTCAAAAGAAGTTTCCAGTCAGGACTCCAAACCAAAGCCTAGCCGAGATCTGAAGTAAGACTGCCACTTGCAACATGAGAGTGAAGCAGGGCGAAACCCTGTCACCTCCGTAGGCTTGCACCAAAAAGAACGGAGAAATACTTCCGGCACCGCTCTTTCCCTGAGCCGTCACTCAACCTCCGCCTTTAACTTTCACTTCACTTTCAATCGAGTTTAAGTTGCTGCGTCATACCGTATCCTTTGCTTTTACCTTTGCGCAACATTCACCAACTGCTGAGTAGCTGACGAACCAAATCAGCAAACAAATCAGCTGAGGTGCAACGTGACTTGCTTGTCGGGCTATCAGCCAGTGGGCAGCTTGCGGTGTGTCCGAGGCAAGACCGTTGGATTCGTTGAAGCGCTGTTCAAATTCATTTAAATTTGATATTTATATAGGTTTTGAGGGCTCCCAGAATTCAATAACCAGGACCTTCCCAATGACCTCTTCAGGATTTCCCAGCGACCTTTTGTGATCCCATAATGCTGTTCATGAGATTTCAAAGAGTTTGACAAATCACACCTTGATGGAGCACATCCTGTATCACCTATCACCTGAAAACACTGGAAACATTTATCATTGCTGTCCGCAAAATATGTGGTTTGAACCGGGATATCCGAAGCAATTTCCCCTACCTTTCAACCACCTTTCCGGCACTTATTTCTATCAAATCAATTTCAGAATCCCTACAGGCGCACCTGGTTCAGCAACTCATTTGGCATGAAATGTCTCCGCGTGCAGGCGCCTATGAGCTCAGTGGCTTGGGCTGTGTGGCCAGCGCTGTGGCCACACGCACTGCGCAGGTGGCTGCCGCCCAGGTGCGCTTTCGGGTGGCACGAGAGGATCAAAAGAACTAGTAACTAGTCCAAACAGTGGGTAATTTTAACTCAGTGGGCCCTTTTTCTGGTGCTATCAATGTTCGATCATGATCGAAGCAATTCTTTGAGACGTGATAGCACCATGCTGTGCCAGGTCGTCCTCGTCTCTGTCTCTGAGGCAGAGGCCAACACCACCCGAGGCCGGGCTGAAAGAGATCAGACTGTCAAGCTCCAAAAGACTTAAAGTCATGGGCTCCTCATACACTCCTCAGAACCCTTCTCGTGATTGATGTGCACCACCCCGATTCAAACTCCTTGACAAAAAAGGTTTCATGCAATCATATTACCCATCCACAGCCTTTTATATAAGTTTTATATACCTATGATGCCCATCAAAGCTTTATTCAGCCTCTCAGCCCTCCTCCTCGGCCGGCGCTTTTGTCCCTTTGACCCACCACCACCTGAGCATCGTTCAAAACCTAGTTGTTCATATTTAGTAAGGACATGGTCATAAGTCATAAGGACACTGTGCGTAAGCCAAAACCTGATTTGCGTAAGTTTGCGTAAGGTTGCGTAAGCAGTTTCTGGCTGTAGCACTTGCGTAAGGTAAGTGCGTAAGCTTCACTTCTCCAAGTAAAAGATGCAACAAGTCAAGTGCGCAAGCTCATGTTGTGGTGTGGTGGATAAAGTTTGTCCGTATTTGTTTTTGCGTAAGCTCCGCGTAATCACTTCATGTCCCCTGCGTGGCACGGAAGCTGAAATGTGAGTCGCGTATACGGAAAGCTCACGCATGTGCGTTTACGCACCTCCTTGCGACCCATGACTCTCCAAACATAGCCCAGACACTCCATGGGACTGCCATAGGACTGCCGATCAGTTGGGGTGGTTTGGGGGGTCAATGGGGCGGCATATCTAACGGAAGCTAAGGCTTCACGCCACATACCATTTTTCCAGGTGTGGGGGCTCCAACTTGGATTCACTGTATGACTTTGAAACCTTCAAATCCAGGTCATCAAGGCAGGAAACATGGAGTGGGCCATTTGGCAATTTGGGGAGTGTCTGGCAGATCAGTGTATTGTGCTGGCTTTCCGCCGAGCAGTCGCATGGAGTGTCTGGGTAGGTTTTGAACAAGGCTCACCTGACCCATGACGCCCCAACCCGCGGCCTCCGCGCAGGTCGCGTGGAGCGCTCCGCGCGGGGCCTCCTGGGCCTCGACGCCACGGTGACGCCGGCGCAGCTGGCGACGCTGGTGGCCGAGGAGGCGGCCGTGGTGGAAGCGGAGGGATGTAGTGGATGGGGTGATGGTGATGGGATGTCATGGCAGGTTTTATGGGACATCACACAAGATCACACAGGTTTTTTTGGACATTCTTCTGAAAAGATCAGAATCTGGTGATTGACGTGTTTTTGAATGCGTTCTTTTCTTTGAGGGGTGTCTTTTTGGCAGATTAGGGAGAGTGTACACCCGCCCTCCTGAAGGTGGACCACCATTGAGGGCCAAGTCTGTTTGCACCGCAGGAGGGACCATAACATTTGATCAATATATATATATATATATAAATATAGATCACCCATCCTTGGCTTGACAGTCGATTGAGCATGGCGAATGTGGTTCCGCGGAACAAGATCTGGTCCATGAACTTGCATCCAAGCTCACATTGTGGGCTGCATCTTAAATGAACGAATTCCAAAAGCACGGCTTCAATTCTTGCAAGGTCGACTACTCGGACGTCCACCTCGGGGTTTGGGTGTTAAACTTCACCACTGGATCACTTCCATCCATTGATTTCCATCACTTCCGGTTGGCAGGTTGGCCGGTCCAAACACCCCAGGTCCCATGTCTTTCCGGATGATGAGGAGAAACATGTTTCCTTTGTCAGACAGACAATGTCTTCGCCCCACCAGTTCTCGCTTTTGGCATGTGGATTTCAAACTCCCATTGTCACCTTTGAAGGAAAAAGGTTTGTTCAGGTTGGGGATGGATTTTCACTGATCACTTCATATCACTTCCGTCATTGTGTTGCAAGTCAGTTCCTCTTAACTAAATCACTCCAACTGGCACAACTGGATAACTTCCATCATCTTCCAACACTTCCGCTTGGCAGGTCGGAACACCCCCACAGTCCTTCAGTCCCTCTTTGAATCGCTCCCAGGTCCCCAGCATTTCTCCGCTCGACCGCGCCTTGGCGCTCGCCGCGCTGCAGCAGCTCTCGCCCGAGGCCGCGCTTCGCGCGGCGCTCCGCACGCTGCTGACAGCGGCGATTATTCCGGAGGTTGAGGCGCCGGAGGTGGTGGTGAGGAATGTTGGGACACGGAATGTTGCGTGCACAGTGTATCACAGTGTGTTTGTACACTTGTTTGTTGTTCCCTGAAGTTCTTATTACACATTAGACTGATGTATTGGTGAATATATATGTAAGATTAAAGATTAGTATAAATCTTCTCGTGCTCACCCAAACAAGGTGTGGATCATGTTCTGAAGTTCCAAACTCTCCTGTATTCCAAGATTTTAGCACTGCCAAACATGTGTGTTTGCAACCGAGGGTCTGTGATTCTTTGGGCACTTCGTATTGCAGCAAAAATGAAAAGGGTTTTCCAACCTCCACCAGTCTTCCAACTTCATGAACATGCATGAACTTCACAGTCTAACTCCTTTTATCACTGAATCCCAAAATTAGATGCTCGTCCCTTCGGCCCCACAAAAAAGCACCCTGCAGCGCCACGCCCACGCACACGCAGCCGGGGCCGGCACCAGGCCATTTTCCCAGTGGTTGAGGTGGCGCTCACGCGCCTGGACGCCCATGGCGTCTGGGCCAATGCTTCGGAGGTCTTAGTGCAGAGCAGCCCCTTGGCTCTCGCGGTATTCGTCGAAGGGGAGCGAGGTGGTGGTGGGGGGAGACCATATAGGGATTGATTGATGATTCAATGATTGACGATGTACAGCATCTTTATGTATCTTTATGCATTATTCCCTTGGTTGTGAGATGTGCATATATGTAAAGACACCAGTTTTGGTCCATGGACTCTTTTTTTTGAGACTTCACCCCCCAGGCCGTTTCAGAGATCTTACAATGCGTGTTTGGGTGACGGGAGGTTGATGAATCACGATTCTGCATTTGTTTTTTGTGGTTGACCTTTTTGATCCATTAGGATGGATTCAGATTGATTATGTGCATGTTAGGATGTGCCTAGTTACTCGTTTGCTCTCCATGATGTGACATGTATGTTTTCCTTTTTAGATAATATGTCCTGCAACATGCGAGCAGGCTTGGTCGCAAGGCTGTGCCGCCCTTGCTACTTGGGTACGATGTGACATGTTTGGAAAGCATGCAGGAACCCATTGTGGCATTGGTAGCACCAACAATGTATCGACCAAAGGAGTTTGGCTCAAAAACATTCAGATGTTCGTCTTTGAGCTTCGTGGTCCTTGCATTCATCATGCGAGGACGCAGACATGCTTGGAAGTCGAGATGCTTGGTGTGTTGGGCTTTGCTTGCTTTGACCCATCGGATCTTTTTGACTATGCCTCGCACTCATCCGTTCTCCACCATCCCCTCTTGTAGCAGCTTGGTCACTGGCTCTTCATGGGCACGCAGCCTCCATAGCTCACCTGTTTCATTTGGCTCACTGGGTTCATTGCACTCACCTGGCTCCCCAGGTTCATTGACCTCATCAGGCTCCTGGTACTCACTCGTTCCATCCAGATCGACCTCACCAGCTCAAGCTGCCCAACCCCCTCACCGTCGCCCGGAGCGACCGGTAGAGACGGAGACCGACGGCGCGTCCTTGGCGGCGGCCGTGCTGGGCGGTGCGGAGCTGGAGCGAATCCAGGCGGCCTTTCGAGCCAAGGCACTGGAGGCGAGGGAGTTGGCAAGGGGGTTGGAAGTAGGAGTGAGCTTTTGTTGAACTAATGACATCTGGTATATTTATATAATTATATATATAATATAACTATATATATATATATACATTATGTAGGCCATTATAGGCCAACGGAACACGGGAAAGCCACAGGTTACAGGCCCAAGGGACAGAATGGATTCTCAACGTAGCATTAGTGCACGATTCTTTCCTGATCACAGACTCATCAGTCGTCTTTGGTGCACTCACGTTTCACCACGCTTTGGAGGCGATCCATGTGGGAGACTTGAAACCGGGCATCGAGCTGGAGTTGATCTCTGCCTTGGATTTGCAAACGATCACGTGGAGCCACGTGCCAGTGACCTGGATTTTT